TAAAGGGTTTTACTTTAAATTATCAAAATTTATTAAAACTTAATGGGGAAGCAATGATAAAATTAATTGAAGAAAATAATAAAAATATTAATATAGAATTAGAATACAAACAAATAACACGTGATACAATTACTAAAACTTTAGTTAATAAAAATGTTACAAACAAATTCTCATTTGATTATGATAAAAGAATAATATTAACAGATTATGATACAATACTATATGGTTACAAATTATAATCATTTAAAAACTAAATGTTTATAATTATATATTAGGCGTGTTTTAGCGGTGTAACCGGCGCTAACCGCTAGTAAACTGTTTACTGATATCGTTTTCGCGATTACGGTTCCTGTAACCAGGTAACTAATTTCGTGAACGTGTTTAGTGAATTTTCTAACCGTCGATTTCTACTCGGTAAGAGGGTTGACTGAGATTAGGTTACTAAAAAGTTTATGATAAACACGTGATAACAATAAAATAATAATTTAATAAAGTTACTTTATAGTAATATTATAAATTATTAAACATTTTAATAATTTTAATAATGGAAAGTACTTTCATTGATTTTGTCAGAGACAAAGGTGAATGCATACAAGTAAAAAACAGAGAGGTTTATTGCAAACTTTTGGACAAACGTAAGTTATTTATTTCCCAAGTATAATAATCATAAGATTACTGATTAAGGATATAGATTGGTGCTTAATACCTTAAATTACCCTATACTCAGCGGTGCAACTAGACACTTTGAGGCCCTTAAGTCAAATATAAAAGGGGGCTCCTACCCAAAAATATATAAAAAACTAAGATAAACCATTTCCATCACTCTCAAAAGACAATCAATAATAATTTCATAAAATGAAAAACAATTTTTTAAACTACAATATATTTTGGTGTTTGATGTTGGTGATAGATCCCCCCACGACCTTTTAAGATTCTGAGTGGAGCGATCAATGTACTAATTTTCTAACGATTTGTTTTTTTTTTTTTTTTTTTTTTTGGTGCGTATACACAATTAGTAGTCAAAATAATGGTTTGATAAAATATTTATAATAGTGGATGTTAAAATATCAGCCATTTCCCCTCCCATGACAAAATCATATGACCGACACTACCTATTCACCACAACTATTATTTTTGACCGTATTTTCCTTTATAAGGATGTTGGTATTCATTATACTACATTGTTATACTTTGAGCATCACATAAATGTGTACTTGGTTTTAGATGACAGAATTTATGAAATGTTTGTGGGTATCAAATACCTAAATGAAATTGGTGTTTTGTCCCAAGATGATATGAATACTATTTGCTAATATTGATCCTTTTTGCTATACAACTATAGCAGGTGTTTGTATGGCTATCTATAGATCAAAATATTTGCTATACGATACTATAGCTGTTTTGGATAAAGAGAAAAACGAAAATTATTCAAAGCAATCTATAACATGGTTAAAGCATTTTATTAACATAAATATCTACCACGCTTTAAATGGTGATGAAAAATCAAAAACAGTTTATCAATATCATGGATGTTTTTGGCACGGTTGTACTAAATGTTATAGAGATAAAGAAACCATAAATAATATAAACCATGAAACAACGGATGATGTGTATCAAAAAACAATTGAAAGAAGTAAAATAATAAAAAATGCAGGTTATAATCTTATTGAACAATGGGAATGTGATTGGATAAATAGTAATATATACAAAAAAATGGAAAAAGCTGATATAGCTGATCCTATTAATCCTAGAGATGCTTTCTTTAGAGGTAGAACAAATGCGACACAATTAAGAGTAAAAATAAAAAAATGCGCTATATTGATGTATGTAGTTTATATCCAACTGTGAATTATTATGATTATTATCCTGTTGGGCATCCTGAAAAAATATTTAATCCAAAAGTATATGATAAAAATTGGTTTGGATTAATTAAATGTAAAATTTTACCTCCAAGAAATCTTTATCATCCTGTACTTCCAGTTAAAATGAAAATGAAAAAAAGTGAAAAGTTTTTATTTCCTTTGTGTTATAAATGTGCTGTATATCAAAATAAAATATGTAATCATTCTCCAAATGAAAGACAATTTATAGGAACATGGACAACAGATGAAGTTAATAAAGCTTTACAAAAAGGATACATAATAACAAAAATGTATGAAGTATGGCATTTTAAAGAACAAACAACAGATTTATTTAAAGAGTATATTAAGAATTTTATGAAAATAAAATTAGAAAGTTCAAAACATAATTATAGTTCTAATGAAGAATATAGAAAAGAAGTTTTTGATAAAATGGGTATTTTGTTGGATATAAATCAAATAAGTGATAATCCTGGTAGAAGAGCTGTAACAAAATTATGTCTAGTTAGCTTATGGGGAAAATTTGGACAGCGACAAAAAATGAAAAAAAACTGAGTTTGTTACAGACCCACAACAATTCTATAAAATATTATTAGATGATAGATTAGAAAATATAAATATAAAATTATTAAATGACAATATGATACAAATGTGTTATAATTATAAAAATCATTACGTTGAAAATTATCATAATACAAATATTATAATAGCTTTATTTACAACATCTAGTGCAAGATTAAGATTATACAAAATGTTAGATAAATTAGGTAGAGCTGTAGTTTATTTTGATACCGATTCTATTTTCTATATAGATAATGGTGTTAATAAAATTTAAACAGGAACAATGTTGGGTGAATGGACTGATGAATTAGGTGAAAATGTACGTATTATAACAGATTGGGCATCTACAGACCCTAAAAGTTATTATTATAAAACAAATGATAATACATTTAAAACGGTTATAAAGGGTTTTACTTTAAATTATCAAAATTTATTAAAACTTAATGGGGAAGCAATGATAAAATTAATTGAAGAAAATAATAAAAATATTAATATAGAATTAGAATACAAACAAATAACACGTGATACAATTACTAAAACTTTAGTTAATAAAAATGTTACAAACAAATTCTCATTTGATTATGATAAAAGAATAATATTAACAGATTATGATACAATACTATATGGTTACAAATTATAATCATTTAAAAACTAAGTGTTTATAATTATATATTAGGCGTGTTTTAGCGGTGTAACCGGCGCTAACCGCTAGTAAACTGTTTACTGATATCGTTTTCGCGATTACGGTTCCTGTAACCAGGTAACTAATTTCGTGAACGTGTTTAGTGAATTTTCTAACCGTCGATTTCTACTCGGTAAGAGGGTTGACTGAGATTAGGTTACTAAAAAGTTTATGATAAACACGTGATAACAATAAAATAATAATTTAATAAAGTTACTTTATAGTAATATTATAAATTATTAAACATTTTAATAATTTTAATAATGGAAAGTACTTTCATTGATTTTGTCAGAGACAAAGGTGAATGCATACAAGTAAAAAACAGAGAGGTTTATTGCAAACTTTTGGACAAACGTAAGTTATTTATTTCCCAAGTATAATAATCATAAGATTACTGATTAAGGATATAGATTGGTGCTTAATACCTTAAATTACCCTATACTCAGCGGTGCAACTAGACACTTTGAGGCCCTTAAGTCAAATATAAAAGGGGGCTCCTACCCAAAAATATATAAAAAACTAAGATAAACCATTTCCATCACTCTCAAAAGACAATCAATAATAATTTCATAAAATGAAAAACAATTTTTTAAACTACAATATATTTTGGTGTTTGATGTTGGTGATAGATCCCCCCACGACCTTTTAAGATTCTGAGTGGAGCGATCAATGTACTAATTTTCTAACGATTTGTTTTTTTTTTTTTTTTTTTTTTGGTGCGTATACACAATTAGTAGTCAAAATAATGGTTTGATAAAATATTTATAATAGTGGATGTTAAAATATCAGCCATTTCCCCTCCCATGACAAAATCATATGACCGACACTACCTATTCACCACAACTATTATTTTTGACCGTATTTTCCTTTATAAGGATGTTGGTATTCATTATACTACATTGTTATACTTTGAGCATCACATAAATGTGTACTTGGTTTTAGATGACAGAATTTATGAAATGTTTGTGGATATCGAACGAAGAGGTTGTTTAGAACTTAGAAAACAATTTTTAGAAATAGCTTATATTGATCCTTTTTGCTATACAACTATAGCAGGTGTTTGTATGGCTATCTATAGATCAAAATATTTGCTATACGATACTATAGCTGTTTTGGATAAAGAGAAAAACGAAAATTATTCAAAGCAATCTATAACATGGTTAAAGCATTTTATTAACATAAATATCTACCACGCTTTTAATGGTGATGAAAAATCAAAAACAGTTTATCAATATCATGGATGTTTTTGGCACGGTTGTACTAAATGTTATAGAGATAAAGAAACCATAAATAATATAAACCATGAAACAACGGATGATGTGTATCAAAAAACAATTGAAAGAAGTAAAATAATAAAAAATGCAGGTTATAATCTTATTGAACAATGGGAATGTGATTGGATAAATAGTAATATATACAAAAAAATGGAAAAAGCTGATATAGCTGACCCTATTAATCCTAGAGATGCTTTCTTTAGAGGTAGAACAAATGCGACACAATTAAGAGTGTGACGGACAGTTTTCATTTATCTAAATTCCTATAACCTGCTTTTAAAACGCACTTTTTTATTACTGCTATAGCAGTCATAACTTTATTACTGCTATAGCAGTTGTGTTGTACGTACATTGAAAATTCGATGCAAGTTGACATTACTGCTATAGCTGTAATCATTTTTTTTGATTATAATACATCAAAATCATAAATTATTTCATAATATACAACCAATAAATCTGTATTATTATTATGAGAATTTAAATATAAACAATATTAATTGTAATTGTATGAATTTAAAAACATTTTAAACAAATAGTACATCAATAGTATATAAACATGTTAACATAAATATAAGCTTCATTGAAAAAAAAAATCTTTTGAATACAATTATAACATTCAATCATTTAATTACAAATTTTTGTGATATGCTTCAAAACAAAAACCAGCACATAGTGGTTTTGCACATTGCTTGCACTGGAAAGACGTTTGTTTTCTGATTTTATTCTCTTTTGTTGGCCGTACCGATTTTCTGACTGTATTAATTTTGGATGTACTCTAGTTGTTATACACAAAACATCACGCTTATCCTTCCATTTACTTACGTAAACATTATTTTTACGTCTCCATACATGTTGTCCTTTTTTTAGTTTATTATCAACTACAACTTTTGGGTTTCCTTTACGATTTTTTCTTAAAGTCCCAGTTGTGTGCGTTTTTAGTTCAAGTAAAGTATTTGAAAGTGTCACACTGTTATAATAGTTGTCCATGTATAGAGAGAACCCTTTATTTAGGTAATTATTCATTAGCCTTAAAACAATACTATCTATTTTTGATGTCCTAGATGGTACAGCTGATTGTTCTTGCTTTCCTTGGTACATTTCTATATTGAGCACATACCCATCATATGAAGTGAGTTCGTAAAATTTAATGCCATACCTAGCCTTCTTGTTTTTTATATATTGTCTAAATATAATTCGACCACGGTGTAACAATAATGATTCATCTATTGATAAATGTTCGGTAGGAATAAAAGCTGTCTGAAAATTTTGAATTAATGTGTCAAATAATGGTTGGACTTTCATCATAGGTCCAATCACTTCATTATTATAACGGTCAGTATACTGTACACTAAAGCAATTGAGTATTTGATCAAACCTTCTGCCAGACATAATATGATTAAAAACCGGATGGTAATATAATGGATTTTGTGAAAACATGTCTCGAATAACAGAAAACTTTACTGCTCCACCAAGTAAACAAATACCAAGAAAGCGTTTGATTTCATCTAAATCTACTGGTTTGAATGTCGAAGCTCGTGCATTTTTTTTATGAGGTCGATTAGCTTTACTCAAATTTTCCCCATATTTATTAGTTGATTCAATTACCATATCAAAAATGTCATCTGTCCAAAATTGAGTAAAAATTTCAATTGGAAATTCACGAGAACTTTCAGAAATATTTAATTTTATACCACTGTGACTATCATCAAATGCATAGTCTGGAATATCGGCGTAATCTTCAACCCAACTATCAGTATCAGAATTATCATCACTAGACTCACTTGAACTGTCATCCACCGACAAGTTGTCATCTGAATTTTGATAATTATTTGATCCAGTAAGTTCAGGTCCACAGTCGTCACCAGAATCAAACGAACAACGTACAGGTGGCAAAGATTGAGAATGTGGCCTTGGTTGTTCATAACTCGGATCGTTATCCGAATCGTCCCCACAAGAAAACAAACTAGAACCACTATCACTCTCATTTAAATAATTTTGAATTTCACTAATCTGTCTTCGGTTCATATTTAAAAGAATGAAAATATACAATATATGACAAAATTACAATTGTTTATGTGTTTTACAAGACGTATTAGCCATTAGGTACTAAGCAATTGCACAGTGCGTATAATACTGCTGTGTAGTGTGTACTAGTTCGTCGACTGTCGTTCGTCTGGTTCGAACAATCTCATAATAATCAGTTAATAAAGATAACGTCTGGTTCGAACAATCTCATAATAATCAGTTAATAAAGATAACGTCTGGTTCGAACAATCTCATAATAATCAGTTAATAAAGATAACGTGAGTCAATAGAATTAACAGCATAAACAATAATATACCCGAATTCTAAAAATAGAAAATTGTATATTATATTGGTATTTTTTCCTTGTAAAATATGTCAGTGCCCAATTATCTAACCTAACACGATGCGGCAATCTGATGTCTACTTTCATTTGATACCATTAGAATAAGTACAGCTATAACAGTAATGCCATAATATGAAATGTTTCACATTACTGCTATAGCAGTCATGCCACCTAACATCAAAATTATAAATTACTGCTATAGCAGTAGTGTCCGTCAATGTGTTAAGAGTAAAAATAAAAAAATGCGCTATATTGATGTATGTAGTTTATATCCAACTGTGAATTATTATGATTATTATCCTGTTGGGCATCCTGAAAAAATATTTAATCCAAAAGTATATGATAAAAATTGGTTTGGATTAATTAAATGTAAAATTTTACCTCCAAGAAATCTTTATCATCCTGTACTTCCAGTTAAAATGAAAATGAAAAAAAAGTGAAAAGTTTTTATTTCCTTTGTGTTATAAATGTGCTGTATATCAAAATAAAATATGTAATCATTCTCCAAATGAAAGACAATTTATAGGAACATGGACAACAGATGAAGTTAATAAAGCTTTACAAAAAGGATACATAATAACAAAAATGTATGAAGTATGGCATTTTAAAGAAAAAACAACAGATTTATTTAAAGAGTATATTAAGAATTTTATGAAAATAAAATTAGAAAGTTCAAAACATAATTATAGTTCTAATGAAGAATATATAAAAGAAGTTTTTGATAAAATGGGTATTTTGTTGGATATAAATCAAATAAGTGATAATCCTGGTAGAAGAGCTGTAACAAAATTATGTCTAGTTAGCTTATGGGGAAAATTTGGACAGCGACAAAAAATGAAAAAAACTGAGTTTGTTACAGACCCACAACAATTCTATAAAATATTATTAGATGATAGATTAGAAAATATAAATATAAAATTATTAAATGACAATATGATACAAATGTGTTATAATTATAAAAATCATTACGTTGAAAATTATCATAATACAAATATTATAATAGCTTTATTTACAACATCTAGTGCAAGATTAAGATTATACAAAATGTTAGATAAATTAGGTAGAGCTGTAGTTTATATTGATACCGATTCTATTTTCTATATAGATAATAGTGTTAATAAAATTTAAACAGGAACAATGTTGGGTGAATGGACTGATGAATTAGGTGAAAATGTACATATTATAACAGATTGGGCATCTACAGACCCTAAAAGTTATTATTATAAAACAAATGATAATACATTTAAAACGGTTATAAAGGGTTTTACTTTAAATTATCAAAATTTATTAAAACTTAATGGGGAAGCAATGATAAAATTAATTGAAGAAAATAATAAAAATATTAATATAGAATTAGAATACAAACAAATAACACGTGATACAATTACTAAAACTTTAGTTAATAAAAATGTTACAAACAAATTCTCATTTGATTATGATAAAAGAATAATATTAACAGATTATGATACAATACTATATGGTTACAAATTATAATCATTTAAAAACTAAATGTTTATAATTATATATTAGGCGTGTTTTAGCGGTGTAACCGGCGCTAACCGCTAGTAAACTGTTTACTGATATCGTTTTCGCGATTACGGTTCCTGTAACCAGGTAACTAATTTCGTGAACGTGTTTAGTGAATTTTCTAACCGTCGATTTCGACTCGGTAAGAGGGTTTACTGAGATTAGGTTACTAAAAAGTTTATGATAAACACGTGATAACAATAAAATAATAATTTAATAAAGTTACTTTATAGTAATATTATAAATTATTAAACATTTTAATAATTTTAATAATGGAAAGTACTTTCATTGATTTTGTCAGAGACAAAGGTGAATGCATACAAGTAAAAAACAGAGAGGTTTATTGCAAACTTTTGGACAAACGTAAGTTATTTATTTCCCAAGTATAATAATCATAAGATTACTGATTAAGGATAAAGATTGGTGCTTAATACCTTAAATTACCCTATACTCAGCGGTGCAACTAGACACTTTGATGCCCTTAAGTCAAATATAAAAGGGGGCTCCTACCCAAAAATATAAATGGTCTTAAAAAACTAAGATAAACCATTTCCATCACTCTCAAAAGACAATCAATAATAATTTCATAAAATAAAAAACAATTTTTTAAACTACAATATATTTTGGTGTTTGATGGGGGTGATAAATCCCCCCACGACCTTTTAAGATTCTGAGGGAGCGATCAATGTACTAATTTTCTAACGATTTGTTTTTTTTTTTTTTTTTTGGTGGTTATACACAATTAGTAGTCAAAATAATGGTTTGATAAAATATTTATAATAGTGGATGTTAAAATATCAGCCATTTCCCCTCCCATGACAAAATCATTTGACCGACACTACCTATTCACCACAACTATTATTTTTGACCGTATTTTCCTTTATAAGGATGTTGGTATTCATTATACTACATTGTTATACTTTGAGCATCACATAAATGTGTACTTGGTTTTAGATGACAGAATTTATGAAATGTTTGTGGGTATCAAATACCTAAATGAAATTGGTGTTTTGTCCCAAGATGATATGAATACTATTTGCTAATATTGATCCTTTTTGCTATACAACTATAGCAGGTGTTTGTATGGCTATCTATAGATCAAAATATTTGCTATACGATACTATAGCTGTTTTGGATAAAGAGAAAAACGAAAATTATTCAAAGCAATCTATAACATGGTTAAAGCATTTTATTAACATAAATATCTACCACGCTTTAAATGGTGATGAAAAATCAAAAACAGTTTATCAATATCATGGATGTTTTTGGCACGGTTGTACTAAATGTTATAGAGATAAAGAAACCATAAATAATATAAACCATGAAACAACGGATGATGTGTATCAAAAAACAATTGAAAGAAGTAAAATAATAAAAAATGCAGGTTATAATCTTATTGAACAATGGGAATGTGATTGGATAAATAGTAATATATACAAAAAAATGGAAAAAGCTGATATAGCTGACCCTATTAATCCTAGAGATGCTTTCTTTAGAGGTAGAACAAATGCGACACAATTAAGAGTAAAAATTAAAAAATGCGCTATATTGATGTATGTAGTTTATATCCAACTGTGAATTATTATGATTATTATCCTGTTGGGCAAGGTCCGTGAAGTTAGCGGAAAAATGTGAGCACTAATTTCCGCTATACCACCACTATTTAGTGCTCAATTAGTGCTATACAACCGTTGCGTTTTAAAAATTAGTGCTATACCCAGTAAAAAGTTACAGGGGGGCTTACCTTTCTCCGCTAACTTCACGTAGCGGGTTCAACACCAGCACCAAAATCCGCTATAGCACCAAAATTTAGTGCTTAATTAGTGCTAATCGATGGTACCGTTTTCAAAATTAGTGCTATGTTTTCCTAAGAGTTAAGTGATTTTCCGCATTTCGTCCCAGCGGGTGCACCTTCAGCACCAAAATCCGTTTTAGCACCAAAATTTAGTGCTGAATTAGTGCTAATCGATGGTACCGTTTTCAAAATTAGTGCTATGTTTCCATTCGAGTTATGCGATTTTCCGCATTTCGTCCCAGCGGGTGCACCTTCAGCATCAAAATCCGCTATAGCACCAAAATTAAGTGCTGAATTAGTGCTAATCAACGGAACTGTTTCCAAAATTAGTGCTGTAGTCAGTCAAAAGTTACAGGTGAGCTTACCTTTCTCCGCTAACTTCACGTAGCGGGTGCACCTTCAGCACCAAAATCCGTTATAGCACCAAAATTTAGTGCTGAATTAGTGCTATTCGATGGTACCGTTTTCAAAATTAGTGCTATGTTTTCCTAAGAGTTATTCGATTTTCCACATTTCGTCCCAGCGGGTGCACCTTCAGCACCAAAATCCGTTATAGCACCAAAATTTAGTGCTGAATTAGTGCTAATCGATGGTACCGTTTTCAAAATTAGTGCTATGTTTTCCTAAGAGTTATGTGATTTTCCGCATTTCGTCCCAGCGGGTGCACCTTCAGCACCAAAATCCGTTATAGCACCAAAATTTAGTGCTGAATTAGTGCTAATCGATGGTACCGTTTTCAAAATTAGTGCTATGTTTCCATTCGAGTTATGCTATTTTTCGCATTTCGTCCCAGCGGGTGCACCTTCAGCACCAAAATCCGTTATAGCACCAAAATTTAGTGCTGAATTAGTGCTAATCGATGGTACCGTTTTCAAAATTATTCTAAATTTTCTTCTGAGTAATGATGTGTTTATTATTTTATTCCTTAAATTATTTTTTAGTTTTAATTTGAATTAAATATTGTGTTTTATAACTTTTATTCTCAATAATTTGTTTTTATTAAATTTGTTTTGTATTTAATTATACCATACAAAATATTTTGCTAACTTTACTTTGATTCGTGTATTATTAGTTGTACTATGCTCTACTTCACTGAGGTATGTATTAGATTTTGTTATTTTTGTTAAGATTTGCACTTATCATTTATAATTATGATTAATTGTGTATTTATTTTGTACCTATTTTAGACAAAACCCTGGGAATTTAATTTTTAATTTTTGTAAAGTATTTATTACGGTTTATTACAAATATGATAATAACATAGAGAGTGTCCTACGAGGATTCAACCAATGCGATATCTTCTGAGATAATAAATATGTCATGGATCTGTTTTTA